AGAAACAAAACCAACAGGCCGTGGGGGGGGGGGTGCGCGCGCGCACACATCCATCTTTACATGTATATTTAGAGGCAGACTGTAAGAACTGGACCAAATGCCAACACCTCAGGCTGGAGACTGGAAGTCAATGGTATAGGTCCAGCATGGTCCAAGGATTAACTGCAGGACCAGGATGACCAGAGGAGCAACTACAGTCTGAAGGCTGGCGGGTTCCAGACCCAGGAGCAGCTGAGGTTTCAGACAAGGCAAAAGGCAGGAAAAAGCCCTGTGCAAGTTCAAGGCCAGGCAGGCAGGGAAACTTCTCTTACTCAGGGAGGATCCGCCCTGTTACTCTATTCAGGCCTTCAATGCTGGAGGAGGGCCAGTCATATTAGGGAAGGCCATCATCTCTACCAGTTAATCAATCAATCTCCAGAAACATGCTCTCAGGAACACCTAGAACAATGTCTAATCAAGTATCTGGGGACAGTGTGGCCCAGTCAAGTTGACACAACCATCAGGAACCAGTTTTACGATTTCCTTACACTCCTCATGTACATTAAACATTCTGTAAAGACACAGCAGTGAATAAAACGGAGGAAAGGCTCTGTTCTCATCGGGAATATATACAACAAACAAATACAGAGTAAATACAGACTGTATCAGGTGGCAGTAAGGCTGTGGAGAAAACCAAGGCAGGCAAAAGGATTCAAGGGTCTGGGGAGTAGGAGCAAAATGTGGGAGCAGCACAAGCACAGTTCCTCTGGAGAAGAACAGCAAATTCAACGGCCCTGATTTTGGAGTCTGCCTACCAGGCAAGGAAGCTCATACAGACTGAATGAAGACAGGGAGGATAGCAGGCAATGGGGCAGACATACAGCGGGGAGGTGAGCGAACACGAGCGTGGGCCTCGCAATGCATGATGGGGTGCATGGGCTTCAGCTCCGGGAGTACACGATCTGACTGACATCTGAAGAGGCTCACTGAACACTCTGGTGAAAGGAGAACCAGGAGGCCAGTAACAAACAATTTCGGTTTAAGTGCCCATGATTTAGGTTAAAAGAGGACACGTTCAGCTTTTCTGAGAAATTGGATGACAGGAGTAGGACAAAAAGAGTTAAAAATGAAGTCATGATTTTTGGCTGGGCTGCAGAGGGAAGAACTGAGTTACCTGTGGACTGAAAGAAGGAACAGGTCTGGAAAGAGCCACCCATGAGTTTGGTTTTGAACATGTCAGTTTTAAGATGTAGAGTCAGTGGTTAGATATACAATTATAGAGAGCTGGATGTGCACAAGGCAGGTGAGTTCTGGGGAGGTCCAGGTAGATATATGAACTTGAAAGTCACCAGCTTATAAATAGTCTTGATATGTGATTAATAGTACGGACAGAAGAAACAAGTTCTAAGTACTAAATCATGGGACATCTGTAGATGAATGTGTTAGGCTTCTATCTAGATACCCCACAAAGCCTCATGCAGTCATAGGTGGGGCTTTTTGGAGGCAGCCAGATGTAGGGTATGGGATGCTGGGATTAAGGGATCCCACCCTGGGTATGGGTGGCCCTGACCAAGGGGCAGGTAGTCTGTATGAAATATAAAGCCAGGCTACAGCTGCTGCTGCTTGCTGTCCCCTTCCTGCTCTGCCATGGACTTTTTTTTTTTTTTTGCGATGCCCCTCTGCCATGCCACCCTTCCTAGCAGCCAGCCTACTTTGGACTGAAACCTGTACAAACTAAGCTGCAATAACATTGGATATTGGGTCTCAGCGATGAGAAAAGTAACTGTAATTAACAAAGAAGAAAAGTATATGAGGAAATTTGGTCTGTGAGACAGGACACCAAGAACATGTGGCATCCTGGAAACCACGGGATGAAAATGTAACTGGGAAGAAGTGACCAGTGATATCAAGTGCTGCTAAGGAGCCACGGTGGATGAGGCCTAGGACGTTACCACAGTAATTACAGTCATCTAAACTAAAACAGCCAAAATTTTACCTACATCAGAACTGTCAGGAAAACTCAAATAGTGGGAAAGAACTGTGAAATATATTTTTCTCTTGCAAGATTAGAAATCTGTGTTGCCTACCTGGTCTCACATATGTGATTTATAAAATTGGGGGCATCATGTTTTCAAAATCTTTTACAAGATCAGGTGTTATCCTTATCTCATAGTAAGAAAATAATATACATAAAGGATGCTTAAGTTATTATTAAAAATGAGCAGAACTGGGACTTAGAATATGTATTCATGGGCTGGTCATGATGTTGCAAGCCTGCAATTTCAGAATTTGGGATGCTGAGGCAGGAGGATTGCTGTGAGTCTGAAGCCAGCCTAGGCAATATGGTGAATTCAAGGCCAGCCTTCACTCTAAAGTAAGATTCTGTCTCTAAAAACAAAAACCAAAAAACAAACAAAAAAAGACAAAAATGTGTATCAATACATTTTAAAATGTGAATCTTAAAAAAAATAGCTTTATTGAGGTATATCTAATACACAAGAAATTATACTTAAAGTACATAACTTGGTAATATTTTATATAGATATATACCTTTGAAACTTATTAATAAATCAAGACTGAATATATCTATTACCTTCAAAATTTGGGTTTTTTTTTTTTGCCTTATTATCTCCATCCTACCAAGCACTTTATCTTTACAAATGAGAAAAAACTCTCATATTTCCTCATATAATAATCATATCTAAGGCTCCTGACTCCATCATCCCAATCCAAGTATCTATCTGATACTGTTTTGCTTTTATGTGAAAGACCTTTAGTATTTTTTATAGTGTAAGTCTAGGAGTAATAAATTATTTCAGATGTTATTAATGTCTATAGTTTTTTTAAAATTGTACTTTCATATAGAAACAACTCTTCTTATCGCAAAATAACCTTTGTTTCTGGGATACTGTCAATGGGTATAGAATTCTGAATTGATACTGGATTTTTGTGTTTTTGAAAGTCTTTTAAAGACCTTGTCATTATATTCTCTCTTGAACCACTTGTACCTTAAAGCCTGGTGTTACTCCCTTCTATGGTCTCGTCTGTATAATGTGCTTCTTTTCTTCTGGCTATTTCAAGACTGTCCCTTTGATACTTGTTTTAAACAATCTGATTATGATTTGCCTTGAGGTTGTCTTCTTCAGGGCTTTTAACTTGGGTCTACCAGACACTTCAGAATTGTGAGAATGTAATTTTCATCTTTTGGAAATATTTCATTCTCTATCCAAATAATGGCTTAAATTGGGTCCTGCTCTGTACAGTGGTATTAAGAATTCTCCAAGTCAGCATAGTCCTCTCTGAGGTAAAAGGTGTGCTCAGCTAAAATAAGATACAGTACATTAATTGATAGAACTTTTGTAAATAATCTAAAAACCTACCAAATGTTAGGAAAATGTAAAATGACTTTTGCTGTCTCTAACGGCAATCTGCTTTGTTTAGTTCAAAATTAACAGACACTGGAGACACTGACCATGAAGTGGGACATCTGGCCTCATCCCTGACCCTTGAACACCCGCTTCCTGTGCACTAGAATAGATAGCTAGACGAATCATGAGGTAAACTCCCTGACTACAAAGATTAACTGTCTGGTTACTGTAATTTGTACATGGGTAATGTGGGGGAAATGAAATGTAACCACCTGAATGAGATCATAGCTGTAAAACCTATAGAAGAGGAAGCTGCATGCAATCCAATAGGAGGTCTATCACTGGCACTGCCTTTTTTAAATGCAATCGATCGACCTTTGCTGGCAAAATAAACATTTTATTATTTTACTTCCATTCAGCTTGTCTCTATGTGGGTGTCACTTGCCAATTCCTTCTGCAACATTAATTACGTATTTTATCTTTATTGCTTATTATTTGGAAGAGAATCTGCTTTAGCAATCTCACAGCAAAATAATTTTAATTGATGAGGACTTCTAATTTCTGTATCTTTCTTCTGATTTACACATTTTTCATATTGGTAACATAATTATCAGACTTTCTCCAGTAGTCTTTCTCTACCTTGTTTTTGCAGTGTTGTCTTATTATCAAGATTATGTAGAATATGACCTACTAGCTATAACAATTTTTACATTTCTTTACTTTATGAAAAAATAAAATTTCATAGCAAAATAAGAGAATACACTGTATCATTATCTTCAAAGTAGTTACTAAGAGTGTAAGACATAAAGTAAAAAGATTCTTGCAAAAAGGAATCACAGATAATAACACAAAGCATGGTTTTCTCACATATAAGAAAATTGAAAAAATTGATTTATGAATATTTCAATTGTCTTTGATGTGTTTAGGCTAAAACCATGGAAAAACTCGTAGTACAAATGCCAACTACTGTAGTCTTAGAACCATTTTACTCTTGCTTATATTAAGTACAAAATGTAAAATATTAAAAAGTCTTATAAGACAATTTGCTTATTAAATAGAATCTGCTTGTATTTTTTATTCCATTATTTGTTTTAGCCCACTGATATGGTAGTGAGTGCCCATAGTTTTATTTGATAGCTTCAAGGTGAAAATTAAAATTCAAGTTTCTTTTAAGAAATTCTTAAGCTAATAGTTAAGTTACACTTAATGAACATTAAAGAAATGCTCAGCGCTTGGAAAATCTGCTCAAGCATAGTAGTTAGGATGAAATTAATTATGTCAAATGCAGAAAGTTACAACTGGAAGTAAAAAATTAAAAGGTATTTCTCTTTGACACTGGATTTTTTCTATTAAACATAATTTGCATGAATGTCTTACCCAGTAATTTTAATTAGTGTTAGCTTTAAACAGCTTATCAATATTTCCTCATCTGATGTGAATTACTTTAAATTTAAAAAATTATCTAAGAAAACTAATTTAAAATGGAACCATACATTCTAATGAATTTGATACTTCTTGAGATAAAAACATATATAGTCATATTAATGTTTTAATATGTGGCCCGAATAGGAATACATGTTTCCTGTTTACATACAAAACCAACATGTTTTCATGACACGTCCCAGATGCAAAGCGGAAGTGGGACTGCTGTACCTGTAAAATGCCAGCAGGGTGCTCTTTGGCGGACGCCACCAACAAAGTATGCCCACTGACGATGCCCTCGGCCAGGAAGAACTTGAAGAGCAGCCGTGAGTAAGTATCATATTTATCCTCCTCTGTGAACGAGAGAAAGCTGACCATCAGAACGCCGTGCCGTGTATCAAGCACCCTCGCCCGGTTCACTGCCCTTCCTCCTCAGCACCCGGATGTGAGGGCCTTGCTTGTGCCTCGCTCTGCACACACAGACGGGAGACTGTGCTCGGACTCTCCAGCCACCCACAAGCCCTGGTGGGTGAGGGGCAAGGACGACAGCAGACAGCGCGCTAGCAGCCGCTCCCATCTGCTCTCGGCCTGTAAACTCCCACCCTCCTCACGTCGCGTAGGAGCCTGATGTCTCACGTTTATAAAATTCACAAAAGCAGAAATAGACTGTTTCTCGCTTCTAGTTTTGGGTTTAAAATCCAAGACTATTTTAAATTGAAGATTTTAAAAGTGATAGAATTTCTAAATTTGTACTGTTTTCTCAGTAAATAGTATTTTGCTTTTTATTAGTCCCTTGTCCCTTTTCTTTTCAGAATTTTAATAAGTAAATGTTGATTGTGCAGTCTTCTTGGGCAACAATACGCCATATTTTTGAAATTGTATTGCCAAATGAAAACAGCTTCCTACTACCTTTGTTCTCTTACTATTCTACTAAGCTACATGTCCACACGTTTATATTCGCTGTCTTTCCTTCAATAACTGGAACATAATGGAAAAAGAAGAAAAGAGGTAACCACCGTCTAAAACAAGAGCAGTCATTATTAACTTCCTGAACAACAGTAACTGAATTCCTATAATACCCAAGGCGTCACCAGTATCTGAAAAGGACACTACTGAAAACATTCCTGAGGAGTCGGAATCGGTGAGCTAGCAGTGGGAGTCACCACACACAACCTCCTGCAGCAAGGTGAAAGAGTATTTGAGTTATCAAGTATGTGAAGCCACCGCAAGTGACAAAAAGCAGGTGGCAGCCACAGCAGTTTCCTTCTGAAAGGCGGGTATCGAGGGACAAGGACGTTGGCGGACGGTTCTCTGGCCAAAGCACGGCACCCACTTCCTAGCAGCACCACGTCCTATCTTCTTACTCCCAGGCGGCAGAGTAGCACTCACAGTTCAGGGCCCTTGCTGCCCGCTGAGCTGAGTGGGTGGGAGAGAGAAACAGCAGGAAAGTCACTGCAGGACGAAAGAGAAGACTTTCTGTCCCATCCAGGTGTTGGCTGCTCCTCTGAAGGCAGGTAGAAAGCTTTAGTCTTACTGATTTTATGTATGCATGTATTTATTTATTTATTTTGAGGCAGGGTCTTGCTATGTAGCTCAGGCTGGCCTTGAACTTACTATGTAGCCCAGGCTGGCCTCAAACTAAGGGATCCTCCTGCCTCAGTCTCCTGAGCGCTGGGATCACTGGTATGTGTCACGACACCTGGCAGAAAGCTTTTGGCCTTGCATATCTTCACATTAAGAAAGGACAATATGATATCAATAAGTGAAGAAAAAGAGACTATCAAGAGAAACAGAAATTATAATAATGAATAAATTATATGTGGAAATTACAGTATTATAATTGGCAGTACAACGAGATACAAAAATCGTTAAGGGGAACCCTGCATGACTTCCCCAGTCTCCTACCTAGGGTGATGTCACAGGGTGCAGTCAGTTTTGAGGCAGCTGCACAGTGTTAGACAGGAAAGGCTGAACAAGGAGCAGGCAAGGCTCTGGCCCTTCTGTCAGGCAGCCCGCCTGGAGAGTGCCAGTCACTTTTATTCCCTGACCACTCGGTGACTGCTGGCCGAGACCCACCTCCCAAAGAGCACTGAGAGAGAGCAGGATACCAGCGTGTCAGTAAAGCGGGGGTAAGGAGGGCCAGAACAGAAGGTGCTAACAGATTCCAAAGGAAGCAAAGGGTAAGTACCAACGGGACCAACCCACAGATCACAAAGGGCGGAGAAGCGCCCACTGGGACGTGAGTGACTCACGCGATTTCGGTGAAACCGTGGTGTCCGCAGTACACAGGAACACGTGTGCTATCACCATACACAAGTACACACTAGGGAGGCTTGGCCGTGACAGGAAAGAGAAGCAGCAATAGTAACAGCGGAGAGACAGGCGGGGTCGGATGGAAAGCTCTGCCTCAGTCCAAAGCTGGGTCTTGGCTTGTGTGCGGGACAGGGCAGGAACCCGCAGGTGAGGCTGTGCCTGTGGAGGGCCCCGGGGGTCCCTCCTCCCACCATTCACCGGGATGATGGCGCTGCCACACTGCCACCATCCCAGCCGCCTCACCACAGCCTGGAGAGCAAGGGGCCAACAGGCTGATCCCAGACTGAAACTGCCATGCTGTGAACCACACAGACATCTTCGCTCAGAAGCTGAGCTCCTTGGTATTTCTACCACAACTGGAGGCTGACCCACGTGACTCTCTTCTTCTCTCTTTTTCTTTCCTTCGTTCATTCTTTGTCCGGGCTGGCCTTGAACCTGAGATCCTCCCCCAGAACCCTAAATGCTGTGCACTTAGAGGAGTGTGCCACTGCATCAAGGGTCTGACTGTTCACAGTACGCACAGGTAAGAGCTCACAGAGGAAAGACTGAGATAAGGAGAGGAGAGAGCTACTGTTGACAGAGCTTTGGAAAGGGAGAAGAGGTAAGACCCACCATGGTTTGGATCTACAAGGTCCCCCGAAGTCAAATGTCACATGTCAGAGGTGGGGCTGTTGGGAGGTGCCTGGATCTCAGGGTGCAAACTTCAAGTGAAGATGAACCCGCCCATGGGGTCACACCGTCATGGCTGAGGGGAGGGGCCTGGCTCATTCAGAGTGTGCCCGCCAAGGGCACGCCCTGTCCAAAGACCCTGTGTCCGCACACCCTCCTCTCTACTCCTCAGGCTGCCAGGAGGTGAGCAGCTTTTCTCGGCCACATCCCTCTCCCCTGATGTTCTTGCCCTGGAGCCAGCCAACCATGGACTGAAACCGCTGAACCCGTCAGCCAAAGTACATCTCTCCTCCATTATCTAGCAAGTGTCAAGTATTCCGTCTCAGCAGTGGAAAGCTGACCAATGTAAGAGCTGAGGAAGAGGGGAAAGGACAGAAGATACAGTGTAACTTATTTGTGAACAAAGGAAAGCTTTAAGGGTCAATGGTGGGAAGCCTGGCACATTCTCATCTGATGAAAAACATTCTTTTGTGTGTGCAATATTGGAAACCGTGCACAGAGGAGGAGCAAGCAGTAATGACACCTGAGAGCATGGAAGTTTAAAGGGCCACAGATTAATAAGAATAAAAAAGAGGTAACTAGAGCTACAAGTTTTGGCCAGTGTTAAAGACCCACTTGAGATTAGAGATCAGGACAGCTTCTGGTAAAAGAGGGACGTAATTATGAAGTGGGATATGGCAGCAATGAGAAGGCTCATGGTCCAAAGATATATCTCACCTCACGAGGGATTTTTTTAAATGAATTACCAGTTTTTATAAAATGATTTAATACCAAAGAAATGTGATTGTGAATCTCAGCCATTAATCAGTTTGGCCTTGAGTAAGTTACTTAGTTTCTCTGAAAACTTCAATTATAACTGGGCATGGTGGCACATATACATAATTCCAGCACTCTGGAAGGCTGAGGCAGGGGGATACCAAGTACAAGCCCAGCCTGGGCAACTTAGCCAGAAACCATCTCAAAAACATAATTAAAAATTTTTTTAAATTCAATTTTATCACCTGTTAAATAAAGATGTCCTGTCTGACTATAGTAACATTGAATGGTAAAACACATGACTAGGGCTCCACATGACACCGGGCATGCAGAAAATCATCAATAAATATTAAATGTTTCAATAAAATGGTAAGATTTGAGGATATCAAGGTTAAAATAGGTGTCACTGATGGCATGCTGGAAAGGTTTGTAAGGGAAGTAAATGGTAGGATACTGAGTCTTAAAAAGGAAAACCACACAAGATAGTGGAGATAAAAGTATTATGGCGATAAGAGCTCTGGAAGAGCTTCATTCTCAGACAATGAGCAAAGATAACAGGGAGGTGAGGTGAGATGGATTTCTCTGGTGCTGAAGTTTAAACAAACAAATTCTGGGAGTCCATGGGGGGTACAGAAAATCGCCTGGTCTCTGCACACTGGTTTGGTGGCCAGGACAAGGGCTGTGAGGTTTCGGGAAGGAATCCCAGGAGGAGGGAGCTGAGGCCAAGCCCTCGGGCCTGTGCTGAGCTGTCCTTTCTCCCTCCGGCACTGCCTGCCGCTGAGTCCCTGTCCCCAGGTATATTTCTCTCTCCACTCACCTCTCTCCCCCACTTTCTGATTCTATTGACATCTTTTCACAGCCCACCTGCTTGCCCGAAACCACACATTCTACTCACGCTGTGAGTATTCCTGCACAAGCAGCACGGCGCTTCATTCGCAGAGGGAAAAGCCAAGACTTTTGCTGCCTAACGCTGCCAAGCGCCCTGCGGAAACTCAGTGCTGCTGTGTTACCAGCCAGGTGTCCCCGCCGAAGAGCTGCAGGGAGACCCGGCCGCGATGCTGATCAGTACTGCCACAAATGAAAAGGAGAGGCAGGCAGTGTCAGCGCTCTCTCTGCTAAAAACGCCAGAAAGGGCCACACGCACGTGTCGACTTGCTCACACCCGCCCCGTCCCGCACACGCAGCTAGGGCCGCGGGCGAACAAGCAGGCCCGAGCAGCCCTGCAAACTTTGTTACAGAGGCAGGGAGCCAGGCGGCCGGCCACGTGAGCAGTGCCTGTGCACGAAGGAAAATGCTCAAAAGGTGCTGGGTGATGTGGAAGAGAAACGGCCTGGAAAAGAATGCTGAGGAGGACAGGGGTCCAGGAAGCACCATAATATCCCAGGGGAGGAACCCGGAAGAGATGCAAGGGGCAGAGCGCAGGGCGCACGCTAAGGTGGTCCCATGTCACCATCTCCTCATGCTCTGCTTTCCCAGAACCCTTCCAGGGTCACAGGGACGATGTCATCCATTCCCTAGGCTACCATGGACCGTGCCAGGAGACGTCCTCCTCTGCTGTTCCTGAATAAGAAGCCACCTGTGAGCAATCCGGCCGGCCAGCCGGCTAACAGGGCAAAGCTGATCAGGCAGGCTGCAGGGGAAAAGCCACACGGAGCTGGGCTTGGTGGCACAGGCCTGGAGTCCCATCTGTTGGGAGGCTGAGGCAGGAGGGCTCCAAACCTGAGGCCAACCATGAATACACAAAACAAACCCAAAGAGAGGGACTCTGTCCTGGCTGGCGCCTTGGCTGTGGGCTTATGGAGGCCACACTGGCCCACAGAAATGGTGAGAGGTCAAATGTGAGTTGGGGTGAGCTAGCAAACTTAATGTTCTTGCGTGAGAAAAGACGAATACAGTGCAGTGGTATGAGGCGGGCCTTGACCTACGACAGTTTGACTCAATGTTTTGATTCATAAAAGGTCCAGCAGACGGAACTTGAGGGGCCTCTGTAGCTGTAGCTAACTGTCCCAACAGCTCGAGGCTCATGGCTGGCTTCAGAAAGAACTGGACTGAAAGTAGGAGGTGGTGTGACGACACAAAATCAAGGCATTGCATCTTAGGAGTCCTATCCTGCGCCTATAAAAACCATCTCTAACCGACATACACATGGAGATCTTATTAGCAGTCCCTGTGTATGACCTCACCATTTGGAAGAGATTTCTTGCAGATTAAAATGGAGAAATGCTGGGCATGTGAAATAGAATTTTTTTTCAGTGCTTCAACTTCAATCCTTACTATACATTAGCTATATTAGCTCTTCATGTTTAAAAATTTGAAATTTGATTTTAAAAACACAAATATCCTAATGTAGTGCTGTGTACTTGTAATTCCAGCTACTAGAGGTGCTAAGGCAGGAGAACCACTATTTTGAGAGGGGCCAAAGCAATCTGGCAAGAACTTGTCTAAAAAAATTAGCATTCAAAAGGGGCCGGGCAAGGGCCAGGGATTTAGTTCAGTGGTTCCAGTGCCTGCCTTGCAAGCATAAAGTCCTCTGAATGCTATCCCCAGTACCAAAAAAAGGGGGTGGGGGCAAAAAGAAAAAAAAATCCGGGTGTGGTGGTGCACACCTGTAATCCCAGCACTCTGGTGGCTGAGGCAGGAGGAGTGATGTGAGTTCTAGACCAGGCTAGCCTACATAGTGAGTTCCAGGTCAGTCTCAACTACACAGTGAGACTCTGTCTCAAAAAAAAAAAAAAAAAAAAAAAAAA